GTTTCATGTTATAATTCAAATAAATAAATAAAATAATTAATTAATTAATAAAACTTGCCTATATTCATGACTAAACTAATAACTGTGAGTGGACCACTATTGTTATCATTAACAAAAACAAAGACTAAAAAAGCTACTGAAATAAAAATAAAATTAGTTACTAAAACGGCAAATGTTCACAAAAATATGAATGAAAACTCAAATAATTATGATACAGTACAAATCATTTACAACATTTGTCGCATAAATGGCACCATGCACGGGAAAAAAAAAAGAAAAAAAAAAAAAAAGAGAAATGAAACCGAACCGGACTGAAAATATTTAATGTTTGAAGATGCTTAAATTAATTAAATTAAATGAAGAAAATTTGCCTATATTCATGACTAAACAAATAACTGAAAATGTGGACCACTATTATTATCATGACAATTCAAAATGAAAAAAATTTTTTTTATTTGTTTTCTTATTCTGAATGTGTCAAGACTGACTTTAGACTATCTGTATATTCAGTATAACAAAACCAAACACAACAAAACTGAAAACAACACAGAATCATACAAAACAACATAAAACAAAACAAGGGGCCTGTTACATAAAAAAAGTTTACCAAATAAGCCAGGTTTATTTCAGTTATTTTGAACCAAATCAATTGACAATAAGTCAGATTAACTGAAATAAACCTGGCTTATTTGGTAAACTTTTTTTATGTAACAAGCCCCAGAACACAAAACAAAACCAAACACAACAAAACTGAACAAAAACAACACAGAATCATACAAAACAACATAAAACAAAACAAGGGGCTTGTTTCATAAAACAAGTTTACCAAATAAGACAGGTTTATTTCAGTTAGTCTGACTTATTTTGAACCAAATCAACTGACAATAAGGGGGGGTTTATGTAACAAGCCACCAGAACACAAAACCAAACCAAACACAACAAAATTGAACAAAAACAACACAGAATCAAACAAAACAACATAAAAAAAACAGAACACACACACAAAACCTCACCCAATTACAGAAGCAGCAGCTGTCTGATTACAATTTCAATATCAAAACAAATGAACTCAAGTCGTGAAACGTTCAAAACCTTAAAAGGCTACTACGATGAACATAAGAGAAGGTCATTAGTGGTCACAGGAAACCAGACATGCCAAAAAGCATCCATCACAGTAAGTGTCAGAGCAGCCGGCCTTCCAGACTTCCAGAATACAGACGAGAAAGAGAGCGATTCCGAAGATGACAAGCTGATAAAAAGCCTCTTTTGTCTTCATGAGGATCAGTGATTCCCAGTTTCTGGGTGTTATGGGCTAGACGGACAGAGAAATGAAAGAGAGACACGGAGTTATCATCCTACGCCGAGAGGAATCAATTGAGAGATAAGATCTGTGTGGAAGTGTGCGGATGTTCGGAAGGCCAGTACTGGATGTTTATTTTACCTCAGATCACCAATCGTCACTAACAACTAATGATTTCTGACTGCTTTTGGAAGCGTGTCCGCATCTTTCCACTCTATTGATAACTTGAGCCATTTGTGCAGCTTTTGGGTAAACTGGGTAAAAAAAGAAACCCAAGACTCATTCTGAAGCAGGTACCTAAACCATATCTAGAGACCAGAATATATTACAGAGACTTGGGGTTGGATTTTTTATTTTCATTTATTTGTTTTTCTTCAACCAGCTGGCAATAGATTGCAACGTTCAGGTCCTGGAGGTAAAAATTCCATTCATTTTCTCCATAGGGAAACTGATTTTCAACAATAGCTATGTTTCCATCCAAAGATGCGAATTTAACTTATGCGCTAAACTAAAACATTTGCGAATAAAGCACCGTTTCCATCCAATGAGTCAAAGAGAACAAAACCGTCACTTCCTGATACACTGGCACTAAATATCTCTAAGAATATAGCAGAAGCCACTGAATATAATAATTTTCATATGTAATAAATTACTTGACGTAACACATTAACTGCGGTCATTGCTTTTAGATGAATGCCTGCTGTTTGGGAACGCAGTTATGTAAGACAGTAATTATACAGAAATACTTTGACGACAGACTTTGCTCAGGCATTTCAGAATGATCAAAACAACATATGCTGTGAGCGAGATCGGTCCGCTGGTTAGTCAAGTTATCCCGTCTCATAGCGCAAAGTCACATGACTTTTTTCAATGCGCATGGTGAAATTTATTTGGTAAATGTGTTTCCATCGTAGTTTATGCGCATTTTTTCTTATCGGATAAAAAGTAGGGATGCACCGATACCACTTTTTCCAGTACTCGCCCGATACGATACTTTTATTTTTGGTATGTGCCGATACAGAGTACCGATACCGATATTTTTATTGCATTTGTAAATATTGGGTACAGAAACCAAAAGAGTATGTATAATGTTAGTTGGTTAACTTCATTTATCAAATAGATAGTCAAACCAAAATTTATTCAGACACCTTCAACATTTCTCACATGATCACAGTTTATTCGCTATAGTTTAGAAGATGGTAATAAAATATGACAAGAACTCAGAGTTAAACTGTGTCAGAACAAATTCAGCTTGATAATGTCAGATAACTTTGATAGAAAGGTATGTAATGGATTACAATCAACCGAAAATTATTTAGATAGTATGACAGTATTTACACAACTATCAATACTTTGTCGGGCAGCCCTTAGCTTTAATGACAGCCTGTAGTCTCCTGGGCATGCTGTCACCCAGCTTCATGCAAACCTCAACTTCAAATTTTTTTCCCAAACTCGGCCTGAATAATTTTTGGTCCCAAATTTGTATCAGTTTTACAGTTTTGCTATCCTCACTTACATAAATGAACTATAGTGTCCTGCACCCACTAGTAAAAAAATATAAAAAATTATATCTGGTCTCTGACTAATTTTTGGTTTGACTGTATATCCTTCGGTTATTTTCACACTTAATTATGCTCATTAAAATGTATTTTTGTTACTTTTACTTTTGCTCTATGGTACATCATCTTTAATTTAATAGCATTAGAGCTGCTCCATTGCAGCGGCTTAGTACTGTAATCACGAGCTTTGCTGTAATAATGCAGGGAACCACTCATTATAAATCTCTTAACTGTGATATTTTCAGAAATAGAAGTCACGTTTTTTTTTCTTCTGAAACGTGCTGCGGTTTATATTCCAAAGCCACTCATATAATGCAGAAACACTCAAGCAAGCAAAACGCGCAACGCGAATGAGAGGGACAAGTAGTAAGCTACAGTCTAGCGCATTTCACACAGGCTGCTAGATTCACTTTCGCCAGAAAGTCGTGTATGCCTAAGGTTGAAGCTAGATTCACTTTCGCCAGAAAGTTGTGTATGCCTAAGGTTTAAAATAAATGATGTTTATAGTGAATTCCCCTATAAATGGTCTATTTTATGATTTAGTTTTAATCCAAATGATGCGTGTGCTAAGTGAGTGAACATCAATAAAGATCACAGAACAGAATTGCACGCGCTCTCTCTCTCTCTCTACTTGTGCATTGTTTTACTTACTTGTTTTTGACACATCCGACCGAACTATAAGCTTTTCAGTGATGTCTGTGAGAAAGATATATTCACTCGACAAGCTTGTGCATTTGCTCCGCCGCCCACTCAATCCACTCAGCATGCTTTGTTTATTAGCTCGCGCACATCAGCTATACAGGTGTTAATACTGAATGTTTAACATTATATTCATTGCATACATATACTTCGTAGACATCCTTAATCTCTAATAACTCCATTCTGCTGTCTGTTGTTCTGTTGTCTGTGTTTCTTTGTCTGAATATGGCACTTAACACATGCTGTGTGGTATCGGCGTTTGGTATCAGGGCATTTTAACGAGTACGAGTACAAGCACAGGAGCTCAGTATCGGGCCCGATACCGATACCAGAATCGGTGCATCCCTAATAAAAAGTTTATCCTACCCAGTTGTGCACATATGTTTTTTTATGCACATTTTTAGAATTTATGCGCATCTTGTCGTTTTCCATCCAGCGGTTTTTAATGCATACATAAACATATCTAATAACTGATAAATAGACCTGTTGTGAGCTCTGAGGCTGCTATCTGATTGTATGTGCTTTATTATGTGTGGATTGTTTGGGTGTTTTTTTTGTAATTGTGAATAACAATGGAATTTGTGGTAAAAAAAAAAACACACTACCCATGATGCTGCACAGTAAAGTGCACCAAAAGAGATCGTTAGCTCCGCATATTATCAAGTCGTCTACATACAGTATGCTTTCAAAATACTTTTTTTTTTTGTCTGATTTTCAAATACATTTTTGCTTCAAATCAAAGTTTTACTTGGGATGGGCGATACCACTTATTTTGTTTTCGATACGATACCGATACCTTTAAAGACCAGTATCGCCGATATCGATACCGATACGATACTTCTAAATTATGAAATGTATTAAATTATTAAATTACTACGAGTAAAATGAGTAATGATACACACTTAACTTTATATTTGAAATGCATTTTAACATTCATTGTTATTAGGTTATATTTTTGTTTACACATGGTTAAAATATGTTTACTGTAGTGGTATATGGAAATCTGCAAATACTATAGTTGAAAATGGTCACGTTAGTAAAACCATGGTTCATTTACATAAGGGACTGCCAGTGATAGGCTGTTGCACGCAAAAAATACAACCTTTTTATTCTGAGAGTATCGGATTTATTTTAACATTACAGAATAAAACATGAATGATGGGTTTCAAAGCTGCAGCAGTTTGTAAGTGAATATATATCAGCAGCAGGATCACGTTTGTTTTCATTTTGTTTTATGGTTTCACCAGAACAGGTAACACGCCACAGAAAAGTAAAAGTTTAGCGTGTGAGTCTGAGAGAGAGAAAACACCACTATTACTTTCTGCAGCCATTAACAGCCACAGAAAACACTCAGCAAAACATTAGAAATTATACATTCCAATCCACTTATCACAACAGATACCAACGAAAGAACATCTACACAAGAATTGCATTATATACAGCCCTACTAACAAGCTGATTGATAAAGTGGTGGGAATAAATTTGGCCAAAAATGGTAAATGACATTTCCGTTTTTCTTGACACCTTTTGTGTCTCCCAGAGTTAAGAAAAAGCTATACAGGTTTGCAAGGTTACACAAGGGTGAATAAATGACAGAATTTTCATTTTTGGGGTGAGCTATTTCTTTAAAAGGGACACACTGATCTGGTCTAAACACTTTTTCCTTCATTATTAGTGATTTTAAGGACTGTGACACAGTAAAGGCTCATCTCTGCTGTCTGTAATCTCAGGTTTAGAAGCTCAGTCCACTGAGATGAGACCGTCCTGTGGGTGGGAGAAGGTGGGTGAGATTGAGGAATATCTGACAACACTGAAAGCTGCAGCAGCCTCAGCACATCTCAAAGAGCAGATAAAGAGAGAGACAGACAGAGATCTACAGGCGTCTGTGACAGGGGCTGCCCCGAAGCACTGACACTCTGTCAGACCCTGAGGAGGTTACATTACATCCAGTGTCACTCACACCACACTGCTGCCAATGGATTTTATTTTTTACATTTTTACAAACCAAGTTGTTTTGGACATGTACCACAGTAGAGCTATAAGTGTTTTCAATGATTTTAGATATCTAAAGAGCAGGATGACAAATGATAATGGATTATTAATTATTATAATTCAGTTTAGTGGTGGTAAATTACATCTTTCCTAACATTTTTCTCACAATATTTACACAAAATTCATAAAAGCTGTGCAAAAGTTTCAGGCTATTAGTATTTTCAGTATTATTAACAATTCTCTAAGTCGGTTATTTCTATCTTTTGCTGTAGTGGGTCAGTAGGAAATATCAGTTTAGATTTCCAAACATTCATTTTGCCATTAATTGTAATAATCCAGTGATGTTTTTGTCTGACAGCAGCCAGTGCTCCACACAGAGATCTGATCTGATCTGATCATCATCCAGTCTGTCTGAGATTACATGAAGAAACAGAATAAACTGAGACAGTTACAAAAATTACTCACAAACCTGTTAGTGGGTAATCAGTGCCCACACACACACACACACACACACACACACACACTTGTCTGGTTAGCTATCCTTGTAGGGTCTTTCCATAGGCATAATGGTTTTTATACTGTACAAACTGTATTTTCTATCGCCATACACCTAAACCTACCCCTCACAGGAAACTTTCTGCATTTTTACTTTCTTAAAAGAACTCATTCTGTATGATTTATAAGCTTTTGTACCCATGGGGACTTCAATTTAGGTCCCCACCGTGACACGATTCCCCATGAGTCAGTATGTATTCAGGGTTAAGTCCCCACCAGGATATATAAACCTGTACACACACACACGTATATATGTATATGGATAGATAAATAGATAGATATGTCAACATATTCACAAAAGTTGAATTTTAAAAAACAGACAGAAGAACTGTGGCAACTTCTCCAAGCGACAGTTTTAGGCACTTGTGTAAAAATGCTGTAAAGTAAGGATGTTTTAAAAAATAATGTCATGGATAGGTTTTATTTAGCAATTTACTTCTATTAAAGGGGTCATCGGATGCCCATTTTCCACAGTTTGATATGATTCTTTAGGCTCTTAATGAAAAGTCTATAACATACTTTGGTTAAAATTTCTCAATGGTAGTGTAAAACAACACCGTTTTTACCTTTTATTAGAGCAATCTGTTTTATTGCATGCTGCTTTAAATGCAAATGAGCTCTGCTGACCCTGCCCCTCTCTTCCGAGCCGCTCTCTGAGAGACGGTAAACCTTAGCCGCATTCATCGTGAAACTTGCTAACTAGCACATTATTAGGAAAGGCGATTTGCCAAGATTCATAAAAAAAACCTTATACTCACTTCTTCCGGAGGTGAAGCTGGATCACGAATGATTCGTGCGAAGATAGACACATTTATGTAGATCGGGGTCTATTCACTACAAGTCAAAAGTAAGACTGTAAGTAAGTAAGACTTACTGTAACAGTAAGATTTTTAAGAGAGGCGGGGCATAGAGGACCTACAATAATGTACAGTATTTAAAATATAATGTGTTTTTTGAACATTAAAGCATGTCAACATATTCTGTTACACCAAATACACAAAATAATGATCTTTAAAATAGGATCATATGACCTCTTTAAAGAAGTCTCTTCTGCTCACCAAGCCTGCATTTATTTGATCCAAAGTACAGCAAAAACAGTAAATATTTTTACTATTTAAAATAACTGTATTCTATTTGAATATATTTTAAAAAGGAATTTATTCCTGTGATTTCAAAGCTGATTTTTTGGGGATCATTACTCCAGTCACGTGATCCTTCTGAAATCAATTCTAATATTCTGATTTGCTGCTCAAAAAAATTATTATTATTATTATTATTAGCCAAATTCGCCCATTGGCCTCTGATCATCATGGCCTCCTAACAATCCCCATATCTACTGATTGGCTTCATCACTCTGTCTCCTCTCCACCAATAAGCTGCTGTGCGGTGGGCGTTCTGGCGCACTATGGCTGCCGTCTCATCATCCAGGTGGATGCTGCACACTGGTGGTGGATGAGGAGATACCCCTGACAATGTAAAGCGCTATATAAATGTAATGAATTATTATTATTGTTGAAAACAGCGGAGTAGAATTTTTTCAGGTTTCTTTGATGAATAGAAAGTTCAGAAGAACAGCATTTATCTGAAACAGAAATGTTTTGTAACATTATAAATGTCTTTATCATCACTTTTGATAAATTTAAAGCATCCTTTCTAAATAAAAGTATTAATTAAAAAAAAATTATAAAATTAATATATATATAAAAAGTATTAATATATATAATCTGACTCCAAGCTTTTGAATGGTATAGTGTATAATGTTACAAAAGCTTTTTATTTAAGATAAATGCTGGTCTTTGAATCTTTCTATTCATCAAGGAATCCTGGAAAAAATGCACTCAACTGTTTTAAATAATGATAATAATAATAATAATAATAAATGTTTCTTGAACCGTAAATCAGCATATCAGAATGATTTCTGAAAGATCACGTGACACTGAAGACTGGAGTAATGATGCTGAAAATTCAGCTTTGATCACAGGAATAAATTACATTTTACAATATATTCAAACAGAAAGCAGTTACTTTAAATAGTAAAACTATTTCACAATATTACTGCTTTTGCTGTATTTTGGATTATATAAATGCAGGCTTGGTGTGCAGAAGAGAATTCTTTAAAAAACATAAAAAATCTTACTGTTAAAACAATTTGGACTGGTAGTGTGTGTGTGTGTTAATTACCCACTAACAGGTTTGTGGGTAATTTTTGTAACTGACACAAGAGGAAATTAACACTTCTTATCTAGACCCTTTTATTCCCTTATTTAGACCTTTGGGTATCTTGTGAGTATTGTTCTCTTTCTTTCTTCTTTCTTCCCATAACACTAAATTAGGTTTAATGCCTCCTTATTCTACACAGAGTATTGCGTGCTGTCCTGGAAGGGAGACTGCCGTAGTAAATTATGCATGAGTCTGCGCTTCCATTGGTGACATTGGCTGACAACTCTCAACCTCAATTTATTCTTCTGTCATCTCTCATATATAATCTACACTTCTCCATCTTCCCCTGACGTCTGTGCCGTACCTCAAGCTTTAGCACATCGTGCTGCAATTTCCTCTGGAACTCCAGGAAACTGCCGATGGTGAGCTTGCCCTTCAGGTCGGCCCCGAAAAAGTAGGTGGTGAGGGCTGAACTGCAGCCTCCTGTTTTCAGAGTGTTTCCTGTGGTGGAGCGATCTCGGTGTCTCATGCCCATACTGGTCTGAGAGCGAATGATACTCTGAACCTGCAAAAACAGAAATAATAACTCATGTAAATATGCATTCGAGGGAGGAGGAATCTCCTTTTAACACAAGGCACAGTATCCACCTGGACGATGTGTTGACTGCCAGATCACACCGAATATCAGCGGAGAGAAAACAGAGAGCGATGCAGCCAATTCCAAAAGAGATGGAGAGGCAGGGGAAGAAGGAGGAGGAAGAGAAGAAGGACGAGGTGAATGAGGATAAAGAGAAGAAAGAGGAGGAAAAAGAAGAAAGAGGATGAGGAGGAGTGATAGGAGGAGGAGGAAGTTGAGAAGAAGGGGAGGAGGAAAAGGATGAGAAGAAGAGTCAGAAGGCTGAGAAAATGAAGGAGGAAGAGAAGAGGAGGAGGAGGAACAGCAGTTCCTCTCTTCTTCAGAAGCCTCATTCTTTCAATTATAAACGTATTATTGATCAATCACTGGAGAACACTAAACTTAAGCAGAACTCCACAGAAAAGAGAAGAGAGCGCTGGAATTCAAGGACTCCTTTCAGGGTGAAGGTGTGAATGTTAGCAGTGATGTATGTGCGGTTCTGGGACAAAAGCAACTAAAGATAACTATCAATAAATGACTGCGTAACTATATACTGCTGCGTAATCAATCATTCCAAGAGGGCTGAAATGCTGTTAAAGATTCAGCATTTTTAGACCGATATATTCCCTTAACAGAGTCTAAGTGTAGTATTTTTAAAAGATTGATGTTATGAGAGGTTTCCTAAAACAAATAGCTCTAACCTTAAATTCTTCAATGGGATGATCTGTGATAAATAGGGATGTAATGATTCACTCAAGCCACGATTCGATTCGAAGAAAATTAGATTTAGGACAAATTATAAATAAAATGTGTCCTTTTATTATTGCTTGGACAAAATGCTGCACAATTTCTTTGTGAAATTGAAATATAACACTATAATAATATACTAATATAGCACTTGTATATTATTGCTCTTTTGTTGGTTTTGATTGCTTCTATTGTCCTCATTTGTAAGTCGCTTTGGATAAAAGTGTCTGCTAAATAACACAATTTAATATAAATGTAAACAACAAAACTAAATTGAAATTTTAAAACAAGCCCAAATAAAACACAAATAAAGAAATCTCTTCATATAAACAAACTAAGGCTTTGTCTGTGCTCTTTCCATTTAAAATTAAGAGACAACCACTGCATTTTAATCTTGTTCCAAACAAAGATGCTGCATACATGCAACATGAGCAGTTTTTAATCTAAATTAGATTGTATAATTTCGACATTTGAAGCAAAAACAGAATGATTTGACTTCTGTTTTGTGAAACTATAGGCCTACATAAAAAATATCTGCATGAAACAGAAACAGCAGACGAGCTGAAAGAGACGCAGATTCACTCTCTGCCAGCAGGTGGCGCTTAAAGCGTTTCCGCTGTAAACAAAGCAGCGCTGCACTTATGTACTTTAATATGCATTATACAGAGGCAAGATGAAAAGAAAAAATACCATCTAAACTTTTCTAATGACAGTAAGTTCCCCTCACATACATTCATATAAACTACCCCTAATTGAATCGCGATTTGTTTAGCATCTCAACCGATCTGAATCGTCATATATTTAAATCGATTTTCAACCTGCTCGCGGTTAATCGTTACATCCCTAGTGATAAACCCACACCTGTGACCGCACATTCTATTAATACGCAACTTATTGGAAACCTTTAAGTAGCTTATATTTAGGCTTAATAAGCTCAATTGTTTAAATATTAATTTTAATAAATGTAATTATATCAAACATCAGTCATCTATCAATTTGACATATTTCCAAGTGATATAAATGTAGGGTGGGATTTTATCCATCGGGAATTGATTAGATTGTGAAAAGTGATTGTTAAATAATCAATGAGAGAATGAAGAATTCATCACATAAAGGAAAGTCATTTTAGAGGCGGAACATGCCTTTACATTTTTTGGGGGGAATATGCACTAATCGTACATATTGCAAAAAGTCTGAACATACAATAACAAAGTAAATAGGGTCAATTTGATTTCATGTTGACTTTAAACCGAAGGCGAAAGCAAAGATTATGCCAATGACACTTAATAATGTGGTTTCAATAGAACTGGTACTTTTTTTTTTTTTTTTAAGTTTCCATTGCTAACTAAACTTCTTAAAAACCGGGCCGACAAACAGGCAAAATTCTATGCTCTGACCCTTTGCGTCAGTCGTGGTTTGAATGTCACCCTCTTGACTCGTCTACTGGAGGTCCATGTCCTCAGACAAGAGCATTAAATATATTCCCTTTGATGTGGCTACTATATTTGCATGGTTGAGCACATACTGTGTGTTTATCAACAGGCACTGCATATACCCAGAATGCTTTTGGAAAGAGAAAGACCTGATATTACCAGGTGAATGACTCACATTGACTGCAAATGAAAGGCAAATGTAGCCTGAGGGGCAAAGGTAAGCTAAACAAACAGCTGAAAACACACGTGTAACCAAAATACACAAACGGTCACTACAATGACAGAAAAAAAAATGTGCAAAAACACCTTGGGCTACACTAAAGGTTGTACCTTTAGGTGCAGTAACAGCTTGTCACTGGGGTAGTACACAATGAAAGGGACAACTTTGTACCCTTTATCTACCCCTAAATAGTATTAGTACCTTAGAATAGTAATATGTTCCCTCAGGGTACTACTATGAACCTTTTAGGAGTAATAAGGTACAAAGATGTCCCTTTGAGGATACTGCCCAAGTCACAAGCTGTTGTACCACCAGCCTCAAGGAACAATTTTTGCATTTTGTTTTCTGACAGTGTACTAATGGAATGTGTTCATCTGTACCTTTGAAGGACTTTGTGTTCACCTACTTGCTCAAACTCCTCAAGGTCGACCTCTCCGTCTCCGTTCAAGTCAAACATCTTGAAGGCGATTTCAAAGTTCCTCTGTGGAGCTGCAAAGGGACGAAACAGCTTTTGCAACCCAAAGATATGACAGCATTTACTTTCACTAACACATAGATGCAATTTCTGCATTTCTTAACGGTTTAAAAAATAATACACAATGTGACAAAAAAGTTTTACTTACATTTTTTATGATTCTTCTGTGATGCTAATTATTATTGTAATATTTGTTTTCACGAAGCATCCGTATTTTTGTAAATATTTAGGTATATTTTAGAACTTGTATCATTAATTATGAAACATTAATTTAGTACAGATACATTTTTGTACTAATTGTGCATGTTTTTAAAAGATATTTTGCTTTTGCAAGGATGGGAACATTCTAGAAATTTCTGTAACATTCTGGAATATTCTAGCGCTTTCTGGAACTTAAACTGTTGTTAATGATACACAAAAAGTAATGTGATTTTCATATTCAGCATGTGGAATTTTATAAAGAAATGTACAAAAAAAAACTTCTATAAAAATGTGTTTCACTGTTATCAGTCATTTCATTAAAACTTAGAAAAAAACACATTTCTACTCACATCAAATAAAGATTCAGTTATATCAGAGGCCTAATTAAAGCTCTTTACTTCTACAAAAGGGTGGTCCACCGTCATGGTGGCAGCCATGTTGAAATCACATGACCCAATACTGCTCACTTTTTCCTTATAACCCCCTTATTATCATAAACTTCTAGTTGCGGAATAAACTACCAGGTAACGAAGCGCAAACATTTGCTTTTATGATGCTTCATCCACACCAGTAGGTGTCAGTATTAAGCCCAACAACACTGTCATAATAGCTAGCAAAACAAAAAGAGATTTAAAAGAAATACACGTCGGTGCCGATAGCCTAGTGGGCAGTGCGTTGACATATAACGCCATTGTGTTACGGGCGTCCCGAGTTCGAATCCCGGCGAACTTAATTTTATGTAATTAAAAATGACATTTGCACCACTTTTTACAAAAGTTAAGACTGAATGTACCTGAAAATGCCAAATGGTGTAACTGCCAAAGAATGAGAAATATTAAATATTTTATCCACCTAGATGGCATGTAAGCGTACTCATAGAAATAAATACTTCATTTTAAAATATCAAACGAAAATTGATTTTTTTTTTAGAGTTATCTCTAAATGTAAATTGTAAAATTTTTTAAAAAATGTTAAAAAATTGGCGGGACTTATGCTGAAAACACCTCTGTTTTCTAAATAATCTTTGACAAATTATGTAAAAATCGTTAAAAACCATGTTACTACACTAAACTAGATGATTACATTTTACTCCACATTAATTTTCCTGTATATAATTATATTTTTATGAAAAATATTGGTTACGCCAATTGACACAAATCAGTTACACCACCTGACCATGTTGCTTCTACAGCCAAAAGCCATTGTTTTTTGAAGAAATAGACACTGAAAATCAAGCATGACAGTCAATAAGTTCAGCAAAGTGTTTTTTTTCCAATACTGAAAAAAAAAAACCCAGGCAAAAAGGCAAAAAAATCACAATCATCATTGTGATTAACAGTGAACTCATGTCTCCTATTGTAATTTTAATTTTCGTATTGTAATTTCGTACTGTATTGTGGCATCTATTGGGGGAAAAAGAGGTTAAAAAATATCACCCATTCACTGCTATTATAAAGCTTGGAAAAGCCAGGATTTTTTTTTATAAAAATCGTTAAAAACCATGTTACTACACTAAACTAGATGATTACATTTTACTCCACATTAATTTTCCTGTATATAATTATATTTTTATGAAAAATATTGGTTACGCCAATTGACACAAATCAGTTACACCACCTGACCATGTTGCTTCTACAGCCAAAGGCCATTGTTTTTTGAAGAAATAGACACTGAAAATCAAGCATGACAGTCAACTAAGTGTTTTTTTTCCCAATACTTAAAGAAAAAAAAAACAGCAAAAAGAAATCATCATTGTGATTAACAGTGAACTCATGTCTCCTACTGTAATTTTAATTTTCATATTGTAATTTCGTATTGTATTGTGGCATCTATTGGGGGAAAAAGAGGTTAAAAAATATCACCTATTCACTGC